TATCACAGAGACTCAACAACTGGAATCTCACTCTACTAAAAAGTTTTTGCCCATCAAGAGAAACCAACAACAGTGGGAAGAGACAACCCATAATGTGGGAGAAAATGTTTGCCAGCTGTTCCTCACAAAGGATTACTATCAGGATAGATGGAGAACTCAAAAAAAAATCAGTTCTCCAAGATTTGAAGACCCAATCCAAAAATAAGTGTCTGAGTCAAATATGCTCTTCTCAGATGAGCAAATACAAAACAGCAAATAAATACGTGAAAAAGTGTTCAACATCACTGGTCATTCGAGAGATGTAAATTAAAACAACACTGAGATTCCACCTCACCCCAGAAAGAATGGCTATTACCAAGAAAGCAAGCAATAACAAATGCTGGAAGGGTTATGGGGAAAAAGGAACCTGTCTCCACTGTTGGTCATAATGCAGACTGATACAACCACTGTGGAAATCAGCATTGGAGATTCCTTAAAAATCCAGGACTAGAGGTCCCATTAAACCCAGCTATTCTCCTTCTGGGTATCTTCCCAAAAAAACTAAAAACATCATACAACAGTGATATATATGCACCCATGTTGATAGCAGCATAGTTTGTAATAGCCAGATCTTGCAAACAACCTAAATGCTCATCAACTGAGGAATGAATAAAAAAGATGTGGTATTTTTATACAATGGAGTGCTACTCAGCCATAAAGACAGATAAACTGGAAATTTTTATAGGTAGATGGATACAACTTGAGAACATATTCATTAGTGAAATATATAAGACACATATGTATAAACATTACATGGTCTCTGTGAGCAGCTGAAAGAAACAATTTATGTGTATGTATATAAAAAATTAAGAGAGTTATACCACTGATTTTTCTGATTTCACTGAGCAGAAAGATTTGTGTTGGTATTGTTCAGACAACTGAATGCAGATGCCTTGTGCTCTGAGTGAATGAATAATTTGGGGATGACAATGTGCACTGTGGTCCCCTGACTGATGTGTTCTAAAATTTTGTTGTAGTTTTTTTTTTTTTTCTTTTTCTCCTTGAAAAAAAATGGATTTGGAAAATGAATTTAAATAAATAAATAAATACCATCATTTCTCTGATGTGAGAAACTGAAAATGTAGTAATAACCAAAATGTATAATAGATACTGTGAAATGGAAGACAATGTTCCAATGGGAAGAGGAACAGTGGAGGGGAGGAAGGTACAAGGAAAAATGAGAAATAAAAGGAAAAAATGCAAACAAAGCTTGTAAATAAAGAGGGAAAGAGGTCTTGAAGGGGAGGGAAATGCAAGGGGAAAAAAGCAGCAAGATATATCAGGTACAAGTACAAATTCCTATGGTAAATGTTGTTATGTATATAAAATGTACCAATAAAAACCTCATAAGGGGGCCAGGGATTTAGCTCAGTGGCATAAGCACTTGACTGGCAAGCACAAGGTCATGAATTTGATCCCTGGCACCCCCACAAAAAAAAAAAAAAAAATAGAGCTGGGGATATAGCTCAGTGGCATAGCACATGCCTGGCAAGCTCAAGGTCTTGAGTTTAATTCCTGGTACAAAAAAAAAAAAAAAAAAAAAACCCTTCATAATTAAATCACTTTCATTTTGAAAAAGTTTACTCACTCTACTTTAAAAGGTGGCTGTTTGCAAGCCAACTGACATCAGTTTGTCTTAGTTAACGTTTCCTCCAACAAAGTTAAGTTTCCTTGAAACTTGATAAGGGGGTAAAAAACGCAAGCTTTTAGGTTTTCGGGGGGAGAGGGCAAAAATTAGTGTGAAATAATTAGTTTTCCAAAAACACTGTCTCTGCAAATACCTCTCAAACTAAAGTATTATTTCGAAAGTTTGAATCTTATGCTTACTAATGCATTCTGCTATAGGCTAAGGGTTTCATTTTGTTTGTGACAATATCTCACTATGTACGCCCAAATGAACTTGAACTCACTACGTAGCCTAGACTGGCCTCAAATTTGCTGTAACCCTTCTGCTTTAGCCTCCTAACTGCTAGAATTACAGATGTGTGACACTGTTCTTAGTAAGGCTGTTTTTACTACAGTTGAGGTATGTTTCAGAATATCATCAAGGTAACAGGAAAATGTATGGATGTAGCTTTTATAGAGCTTAGTGTTACTTTTTAATTTTCTTTCTGGTACTGGAGATTGCAGCAAAAAGGTGCTAACCTATATCCCAGCCCTTTGTTTTGATTTGGGGGGTAGGGTCTCACCAAGCTGCCCAAGTTAGCTTAAAACATGCAATTCTCCTACCTCAGCCTTCTTAGTAGTAGCTGGGATTACAGTCCTATGCCACAAGCTGGTGTTACATAATTTTTAAACATCTGATTAAACCACCAGATTACATAGACTAATGGGTTCAAGTTTTGTAGGCTGAGAAAAATTCAGTTTTGTGAAGTAGGGAAACTAGTGGTACTCAATTTATGCTAGGGTCCAACAACCCTGCAGAGGATAGTAAGAAATTAGGCTAGACACAGGTATAACAACATCACAGAATCTAGTAGGGATGGTGAAGATGAAGGTAATCCTTTTTTTTTTTTTTTTTAATTGATACTGGGAATTGAACTCATGACCTTGCGCTTGCAAGGCAAGCGCTTATGCCGCTGAGCTAAATCCCCAGCCCCATGATGAAGGTTAATTCTTAAAGAGTATAAGTGATGAGCTACGAGGCTATTTGGGATAGAAATAATACATGGGTAGATGTTACAAGTTCCTCCCATTGTCAATAAATCAGATTCCACAAAAGAAACAAGATTTCTAAAATTGGGTATGACCTCAGACAAAAAAATGCACGATCACAGTTTGTGAATTACTTAGTACTACAACCTAAGCTGTAAAGGCTGGTTGAGTCTAATGTATTAATCTCAGCAGCAAGAATTTAAGGTGCTTATGTAAGATTTTAATTACATGACCATATGCATAGATTTTTCAAAGACTGTCTTATGAATAAAAAGTAATTTCCCAACAAAAACTGTTTCATTATCAAGTTAGTCAACATTTCATCCAATTTCAAAATTAGTTGTTTTTTATAGTTTTTGCTTTTACATTTTGTATTTTTGAGATAGTCTCACTTGGCAGTTCAGGCTAGCCCCGAGCTCACTTAGTGGCCCAGGTTGCTCTCAAACTTGTACAACCCTCCTGCTTCAGCCTACTGAATGTTGGAATTCCAGGAATGCATCACCACATCCAGCTTAGTATTTGTATCTCTTTTAAAATGCCAAAGCTCACATATATTTCAAGTAATGACTGTCTGAACTATTTTTCTCATCGCTGAGACAAAATACTCAACACTCAAAATTAAAGGAGGAAAGGATTATTTAGCTCATAGTTGGTAGAGATTTCAGTCCATAGCCAGTTGATTTCAACGCAAGGTGGTATGACAGAAGGGCAATGCACAAGAGAAACAGTCATGGCAAGCAGAAGGTAGCAAAGCAAGCAAAGGATGACCACAGCTCTTTCTATCCCTTATATCTTATCCAGGATACTCAGGGCAAGTAGCACTCACAGTCTAAACCCCTGTGCCCTTGATTCTAGCACTGAACCATGAGTTAATCCCAATATCACACACTTTAGATCCAGCCACCTTTGAAAAAGCCCCACATATGACAGCATGATGCTTTGTGGGGACATCTAAACACAAGCCATAAAGATGACTCAAACAGAATTTGCTTTAAGAAAACTACTTGTCAGGGATGGGGATTTAGCTCAGTGGCATAAGCACCTGCCTTGCAAGCAGGCAGTTGTGAGTTCGATCCCTGGTACCGATAAAAAAGAAAAGACAAACTACTTGTCTCTATCTTCAAGAGCACCTTAAATTTTTCTCTGGTTTAAAGACTCTCAGAATAAATAGACTCTCAAGTAACAGTAGACCTACCATGTCCTGATACACTATAAAAGTAACACTGCTCAAAGAAGAAAATATGACAGCCTCAAAACAGAGTTACAGAAAAAAATCAGAGCAATGAAAAAGAATCCATAATTATCCTTTCACAGATACTATATTTGGTACACATTCTTATGTGTCTTTGTTTCATTATATCAAATATAACACATTAACCCCAGAATGTCTACATAAAAAACCACTTCCTAATTTAAAATGCTGTATTTACAGAACCAGACAGGCTATAGCAACTGACATTCTCTTAGCAAAGTAACAGAATCTTCCCTTTTTCACTGCAATTATATAGCTGGCACCCAACACACCTTTCAAAAAAAGGCTACTAATTTTGTTTTTTTCCCTTTGCCTTGTTGTCAAGCACTTTTTTTAGATTTCTAACTCCCAGTTCACCCCAGGATAGTACAGTTCAGAGTGTATACTGATGGGCCTGGTGTTAGAAAAAAAAGAAACAAAAGAAGATGAGCTGCTGAAAACTTGAGATGCCTAGTGCTGTTTTTCCATCCTTATACTTTTTTCTTATCAATGTGAGAGATGTATTTTCTTTCTTCAAAGTCCCAGCTGTGCCACAACAGTAATAACCACAATCTAGGTTTTAATAAAATAAAGCTGATATTTACCAAATCTGAGATCTCATAGTATTAATGATTTTGAATCCTTTTTCCCCAAAAGCATCTCTATGAACAAGAAAGTATCAAGTCCCTCTAAGGATTTATTTTTTCCTTTTTTGCAATAATAGGGGTGGAACCCAGGGCCTTTTAGTATCCTTTAAGAAATTTTTAAGGCTTTTATGTAACACCAAATGTTTTAAAGACAGGATTAAAAATATTCTTGCTTACTGATTAACCATTCGCTCATATAACATAAAGAGGCACAGCACAGAAGACTACAGAACAGAAATCAACTGACTGCCAACTGCAGATACGGAAAGTTTTACCCCTAGAATGTAATTTTTTATCAATACAAATTAAGTTGGTCAGGCAAACAAATATTTCAACCCAGAATTCTGAGAGTTCATTTGTATCATTTTAGCATGAAAGAAAAACACTGCATTTAAAAAAAAAAAATGCTTGCAAAAATTAGAGCCAACCTTTCCACTCTGACAGCGAGGTCTTCTGCAGGTCTCTGATTTGAACATTCATTGGGCTCCTGAGAGGGAGTCGCATGGCCTGAGCTTTCTCCTCCTTATTAAGAAAAAAAATAAAGAAAAAAAAGGGAGAGAAAGACACACACACAATATATTATACAATTATTTTTTGTTGTTATATAACTTTTTTTCCCCCATAGTTTTGAAGCAGGGTCTCACTAATGCAGTTCAGGCTGGCGTTGGGCTTTGTAACTCAAGCTGGTCTCAAAACAATTTTTTAAAAGATACAAAGCTTCTGGGTTATAATTTTTTTTTTTTTTTTTTTTTTTTTTTTTAGTCTTTTTCCTTTTTATCGGTACCGGGGATCGAACTCACGACTGCCTGCTTGCAAAGCAGGCGCTTATGCTGCTGAGCTAAATCCCCAGCCCCTGGGTTATAACATTTTAGTAGTATCATTTCTTAAATATTACGTATTTCCCCTTAGAGCAAAATTAAGAAATGAGCAATTATTAAACCTGAAGTTTGTATGTGGATAAAACATAAAGTAGAAGGGTGGTGAGTACTCAAGTGAAGTTCATCAAAACAAAGAAAGATAAAACACCAAGAGGCATCAGCCATGCAAGAGGTATGAATTGTCACAAGTAACCTTTACTCAAGAGCAGTGCAGAACAGGAAGTGTGCTTCCAATACATTAGCCACTAGCTACATATAGTTACTGAGCACTTAAAATGAGGCTACTGCAAGCTTAAGGGCTAAAATTTTTAATTGTACTTAATTTTAATTAAAAGAGCTACACATGGCTCTATGGTTTTGACAGTGTTACTTTCAAGGCCATGTCTGGTCTAGGGTGTAACTCTGTAGACTTAATATTGGTCCACAAAATCTGCTAATGGGGCTGGGGATTTGGCTCAGCAGTATAAGCACCTGCCTGACAAGCATGAGGTCATGATTTCAATCCCCGATTCCAAAACAAAAAAAAAAAAATCTGCTTTTGCTGATTACAGTGATTCCTGAGAGAACCTCTTTGTGTGTGTGTGTGTGTGTGTGTGTGTGTGTGTGTGTGTGTGTGTGTATCTATATATATATATGTAAAATCATTCTTCTGAGAATTTCCATCATTCTTCTAAGAATTTCCAAAGGATAGAATTTTGTGCTGGCCACCCTAAAAGGAAGTTATGGCCTTGGAATTGGTTCCTTTTACAGCCGCTGTCATGGTCCTCCTTACCACTTGCCACCAATCTGGTTCTTCTCTAATTATGAACTTAGGAAAACTAAGGACTATGAAGCCACAAAGACAGTTCAACTTCCATTAATTACTTAAAATTCTCTGTTACTCATTTGCAAAATAGGGAAACAATAACTTTACAGTGTTGTAAGAAATATATTTTAAAATAAGTAAAATGCTCAGGACTTTGAGACAGGCACATGATAGATGTTTCATTTATTATAGCAGTAGTAGAAGTAATTATTATCAGGCAAAGCCTATCTTTTCCTGCCTCTGGATTTAGTGTTATCATCTAAATTGCTTAAAATCACTCACAGTGAGAACATTTACATCTTGAGAATTATCAAGTACTAAAATTAAATGTTTTTCCTGTACCCCAGCACTCGCCTTCCAGTACATGGAAGGCTGAGGCAGGAGCATCGCTGCAAGTTCAAGACCAGTTTGGGATACACAGTGAGTTCAAAGCTAGCCTGAACTACATAGCAAGACCCTGTCTCAAAAAAAAAAGTGGTGGAGAGGGATGTAGAGCAGCAGCACAGCACCTGTCTGGCAAGTGTGAAGTTCTCAGTTTGATTCCTGGTTCCAGCAAAACAAAATAAATTAAGAGTTTTTAGCTTCCACAGAACCTTTTGTCCCACATTTATAGGCACATCATTCTAGTCAATCCTTGGCTAAGAAGTGGTAACCATTGGCAGCTACAGTGTGTTCAGTAACAAATTTACCAAAACTTTTCTTCATCATCTTTTCTTTGAGGGTGGGGAGGCAGCAGCCCTGGGGACTGAACCCAGGACCTCACTCATGCTAAGCAAAAGCTCTATCACCATTGGCTGGGGATTTAGCTCAGTAGCATAAGCACTTGCCTTGCAAGTACAGTCATGAGTTCAATCCCTGGTCCAAAAAAAAAAAAAAGAGCTCTATCACGGAGCTACATCCCAGCCCTCAAAATTTCAAAAGATATCATATGAACAATCTGAGGAAAGAAAGTTCTGGATAGTAATTTAGTTGGGTAGATCTACGACCCATAACCAAAGAATAGACTTCCAATGGTATATTACAGAATTCTCTGTTTTTGGTATTTTATTAATAAGGGACTTGAAGATGTACAATGTGTATTTGTAATTGTACAAGTAACACAAAATAGGTGTTAGCAGGGCCCTCAAACCATCTACATCGTTGCCTTTTTATTATTTTTAGAGATGGGGCCATGCAAAGTTGGTCAAATGGTACAAAAATCTTTCAGTCCTCATGCCTTGGCTTCCCAAATGCTGGAATTATAGGCATGAGCCACCATTCCTGACTTGAAATAGCTTATTTTTTTTAATAGCTGCTTAATAACATTATTTAACTGTCAGTTCCTGAATGAAAAGTTCTGGATTGGTGGAGACGGGGAGGGAGATTCAGTAAATGACATCAGCAGATAAAAGTCCCAACATAATGAAAAGTTTACCAACGGAATTTCTACTGTAAGCTTAAGAAGACAATTGAATTATCAGCGAGTATGCAATATCCTGATAAAAATACACATTATCATCTAAACTAGTCTTGTCAACAAGTAATAAAAAGGGAACCTAAATCTGATCAAACCTGTAGATTTACTAGCAATTTAGAGGAAGTAAAAAAACAAACAAAACATCATGGGATATAGTAAATTCCAAATTCTAAATAATTAAGGAAGGTGCCAGGGATATAGTTCAGCAGCAGAGCCTTCCTGGCAAGCACAAGGTTGTGAGTTTGATCCCTGAAACCAAAGGAAAGAAAACCTACAAGAAGAAGTTAAAGAAGGGATTTACACATTAAATGACTATAAAACCAATAACAATATATTGGACTCTAATTCAAACAAACTGGAAAAAAGCATGGCATAAATACTGCCCTAGATAACTGATGTGAAAAAAAGGAATTATGCTTCAGTTTTCCAGCTTTGGTGATGGAATTGTGGTTATTTTTCTAAGTTCATATCTTTTAGATACTGGTTTTCTGTTTTCGTTTTTTGGGGTTTTTTGGTCTTTTTAGAGGCAAGGTTTCATCACATGGTTCGGGCTGGCCTGAAACTATGTAGCCCAGGCTGGCTTTGAACTCATAGTGATTCTCCCACCTTAGCCTACTGAGTGAGTTCTGGGATTACAAGCATGCAACACCATGCGTGGCTTGATACTAACACATTTTAAAAGATGAAATAACAAAATAACAGAGATTTGCTTCATTTGATAGGGATGATAGTAAAGGATGGCACAGGCACAATAAAAACTGAGTAAATATTGAAAATTATTAGAACTAGATAATGAATACAATGGGTTTATTATTCTATTTTCTTTGCATTTAAAAGTACCTGCAGGGCTGGGGATTTAGCTCAGTGGCGTAAGCACCTGCATGGCAAGAGCAAGGTCTTGAGTTTGATCCCCGGTACCAAAAAAAAAAAAAAAAAAAAAGTGCCTGCAAATCCCATAGTTGTGGTTTATTTAAATGTCCCCCCCTTCCAAAAGCCTCATTCACTCCGCATAACTTAATCTTACATTTGTGATTCGTTTATTGTCTCCCACTTGGATTGGTGATGTGTTTCGCCCACCCAGGAGTAAGGCCAGGATATAGTGTAATGAAGGTGTGGCTTTTGCTTTAGCTGTCTGCAGTGGCTATGAATGGCTGCCCCACCATGCCACACTGCCTTGGAGCCAACTGATATGGACTGAAACCTCCAAGAACTCTAAGAGATAAACCTTTCCTTCCCTAACTTTGGGCGTCTGGTGTTTAGTCTCAGTGACAAGTAAAAAGTAACTAAGACAATAGTAAAAGGTTTTTAAAGAGCAAGAATATAGCTCAGTGGTACAGCACCTGCTTGGCAAGCACAAGGTCCAGAGTTCAATTCCTAGTAGTAAAAAAAAAGTTTTTTAAAAGACAAACAAATGACCCTAAAAGATTTCTTCTTTCATTTTAAAGCTACACAGCAATATGACAACACCTGAGATTTGTTTTAAATAGTTAAGAAGCAATGAGGAAAAGTGGGGGCAGAAATAACTATACTGGCCATATGTTAAATGGTTGAAGACAGGCAACAGACTCCTGAGTTTTTAATACTATTTTTTCTACTTTTATAACGTATTTAAATATTTCTGTAAAGAAATTTTTTAAAAAGCTAAAAAGGACTAAAATGAGTACTACTTCTCACGGCAGGTAAAACAGAGCTTTCAATTGCATTAAGCAAGCTAACAGCCTATTAAAACAAAATCATCAACACTCCAAGAGTGTAACAGAGTTCAGAGTGTCTGCAACAGTTAGTACAAGACACTATTCTAAATTTTTTGAAAAAGGACAAAGAGAAAAAAAAGTGATGCATTTTCAAAGAAACAGAGTTTAAAAAAGCAAACCAACCAACCCTGAAAGGAAATAGTTACTAGACCTAACAAACAAGGACTTTAAGAGTGATTATATAATTTAATGAAGTAAAGGAAACTGCTTAAAATGTAAGTGTTAAGTTGTTGTTGGCTGGTGGTTTTTTTTAAAGACATACTCTTACTACAGAGTTTAGGCTAGTCTTCAACTCACTATGTAGTTCAGGCTGGCCTCGAACTTGCAGAGATCCTTCTTTTTGCCTCAGCCTCCAGGTACTGGTTGTTGGCAACCATACCAAGTTCTGTTGTTGCTTTTTATGGTACTGGAAACTGAAACCAGGGTTTCTATACTAAGCTACACACATAGGTCATCTTTGAGATGGGTTCTTACCAAGCTGCTTTGGGCTGGAAATTTTTAATCTTAGTGCTCCCTCTGTCTCCCAAATTCTAGGACTGCAGGTCTGAGGGATGCCCAGTTTTTTTGTTTTTTTTTTTTTTAAATCGTTACTGGGGATCAACTCACAACCACCTGCTTGCAAGGCAGGTACTTATGCCACTGAGCTAATCCCCAGCCCCTAAGGGATGCCCAGTTTAAAATGCAGCAATAGGCCAGGCATGGTGGCACACATCTGTAATCCCAGCACTTGAAAGACTGAGGCAGGAGGTTCGCCATGAGTTCAAGTCCAGACTGGGCTACCCAATAAGTTCAGAGCAAGGCCATCCCAACCTATACAGTGAGACTCTTAAAACAAAACAAAATAAAACATAAACAAAACCAAAAAGATAATAATGAAATAAAAAGTAAATAAAGGGTACTCAGGAACTCTGTACAACTTTTGCAACTTCTTATAAATCAAGCTATTATAAAGTAGGCTACAGTTAGAAAGTACTAGAAATCCTATTATTAATAAACATGCCAGGGGCCGGGGATTTAACTCAGTGGCAAAGCACCTGCCTGGCGAGTGTGAGGTCATGAGTTCGATCCCTGGTACCCAAAAAAAAAAAAAAACCAGAAGAATAAATATTCAATCATTAAAAAAAAAAATATCGGGGCTGGGGATTTAGCTCAGCGGCATAAGCACCTGCCTTGCAAGCAGGCAGTCGTGAGTTCCATCCCTGGTACCGATAAAAACGAAAAAGACCAAAAAAAAAAAAAAAAAAATTGTCAAGTTTTAAAAATCCACTAGATGGCATTAATAACAGAATTAACAGTGAACAGAATCATCCAATTCAAAGAAAAAAAAATATAGAAAAAAATGAACCTATGGAACAGTACCATGACACCTAGATGTGTAATTAGCTCCACTAAGACAAGCAAAAAAGGGACATAATATCCGGAAAGAAAACAGGCCAAACTTCCCAAAATTGGTAAAAGTCATATACTCCAATTTAAAAAGGCACTAACTAGGCATGGAGGTATACATCTGTAATCGCAGCACTTAGGAGGCTGAGGCAGGAGGATTGCTGGGAATTTGAGGCCAGCACAAACTATCTAAGACTCTGTCTTGACAGCCCACCCCCACTCAAAAACAGACTTCCATTTTGTGGACAGCATTTTACAGTTAAAAAAAAAACAATTTTAAACATATTAATTCATGTGAATCTTTCAAAATCCTCTAGGCCAGGGAGATTTACAGAACTCTAAATGTCACAGTGACATTCGATGAAGTACAAACCAACTGTTGTGAACTGTACACTACCAGGGAAAGAAGGGCACATTCAATGACTCTCCTGTTCTATCACTCAATGTTAGGACTACTCTAAAATCTTAACCCCAATTTGTCTTTATTTTTTTAGCGGTACTGGGGATCGAACTCACGACCACCTGCTTGCAAGGCAGTTGCTTATGGCGCTGAGCTAAATCCCCAGCCCCTTAACCCCAATTTGAAGTTAAATAACTGTTCAGGAAAAAAACATACAATATATTTTAAGTTTTCTTTGGGGCCTTGGATATAGTAGGCAAGAACTCTACCCCTAAGCTACATCCTCAGCTCTTTACTTTTTAAAATATTAATCCATGCTCTGAGCTAGGCATGGTGAGGAGGCTGAGAAGGATAGAGTTCAAGGACAACCTGAACTACATATTGAGGCACTGTCTCAATCTTCCACCCCAAAAATAACAAAATATTAACCCATGCCTTTTAAAATGAAGTGAAAAACTATTTCCATTACACTCTACAACATACACCAACAATTACCTGTTACAGTATCTGATTTTGTATCAGCAGAGGTAAGGGGGGTCTGGCAAAGCTCTACATCCCTGGCTTGAGAGTTTTCACAAGTGTCATTAGGTTCAAATGAGGCAGACGGAGTAGACACTGAACTTTCGGACTGGCTGCCATTTGCCACTGATGTGTCACCTCTTAATAAGTGCATCTATGGAGAAAACAAGTCAGAATTTAGTAAACATAAAAAATGTAAGTTTTTAAAAGCAGATGAGAGCAAAATTTGAGTTACGTAAATTTATATAAAAAGTACAAATTGGGCATGCAGCTGGGCATGGTGGCACACGCCTGTAATGCCAGCATTTGGGAGGCTGAGGAAGGAGTATTGCTTAGAGTTTGAGACCAGCTTGGCCTACAAAGTGAGCTAAAATCCAGCCTGAACTGCATAGTGAGACCCTGTTTCAATAAGACTAAAAACAAAAACAAGACAAATTGGGCATGCACACCTCTAATCACAGCACTAGGGACCTGAGGCAGGAGGATCACAAGCTCAAGACCAGCCTGGGCTACATAGCAAGTTTGTGGTCAGCCTGGACTACATATATAGAATCTATCTCAAAAACAACGAATAAAAATTAGAAAATTCAACAAAAAAGGGACGTACACTAAACTCTCAAGTGGATGGTTCTAAAATATATAATCATAGCTGAGCAGGGTGATCCATGTCTATAATCCCAGAATTTGAGAGGCTGAGGCAGGAAGACTGCCACAAATTCAAGGCCAGCCTGGCCTAGATAGCGAGTTTCAGGCCAGCCTAGAATACATGACAAGACCTGTCTCAAAAGAAAAAAAAAAAAACAAAAAACATACTCATAAACATGACATAATCAAGGGCTAGGGATGCTGCTCAGTGTTGCAAGCACCTGCCTGGCAACCACAAGGTCCTGAGTTAAATTCCTAGTACCAAGAACAAAAACAAAAAACATGACATGATCACGTTATAGAATTCAACTGCATGCAAGCAAAAATATAAGAACATTTGTTAAAGCACACTACTTATGTCCCTTCAAATTAAAACTCTGAGAACAGTTACAAAACAAGGTTATACTGCCATATGGCATAAGTGCATGGAAGTGAGAAACTGTGAAGTTCTTAAAATATGCCAAACAATGTATAGCTGGAGTTTTACTGTGACAACAGATCTCTCCTGCAACAAACTAATGGTGATATGCATTATGTGGCTGAAGTAAGAAGTAAAGCAAAAAGAAGTCCCTCCAGTCTTTGGCATCATCTGTTTCTTCATAATGCTATTTTCAAAACCAATCTAGGCAGCCAAGTGGTCTAGCATATATCTGTAACATCTGTAGTCTCAGCTACTCAAGTGACAAAGGCAAAAAAACTGCTTGAACCCAGAAGTTCAAGACCATACTGGGCAACCTAAGCTCCCATCTCAAAACAAAAACTAAACACAATAAGCATTCCAGGAAGACAATATTTACTATAGTACTTTTTAACTGTAATGGTATTTCAGGTTCCTGAATATACAGACAATCTCTAAAACATTCCAATATCAAATTCTATGATTACAGTTGTATACTGCCACACCCAACTTCATTCTCCTTTATCTATGCAAGTAACAGTTCTATTCTTACCTGTCGGACTTTGTGAATTCTCATTACAAGTTCGTCTGCAGAAATACTTCCTGCTATTACTTCCAAAGGGATACCACTGTCTCCAATAAAGAAACTGGATGGAACACACACTACAGGATCTGTACAGTTCAATTAAGTCTAACAATTAATGTGAAACCAAAGTATAATTTAAAAAAAATCCTGACATGAAAGTGAAACAAATTACTTTTGTGAATTTCATAATATAACAATTTCTTTTTTTTTTTTAAACACATTTCTTTCTTTCTTTTCTTTTCTTTTTTTTTTTTTTTTTTGTCTTTTTCATTTTTATCGGTACCAGGGATCGAACTCACGACTGCCTGTTTGCAAGGCAGGTGCTTATGCCGCTGAGCTAAATCCCCAGCCCCAAGTTTATAAATAATTTCAATTACTATAATATTATGCTCATGGCTAATGTGTGTGACATGTAAGAGACCATATCATTTACAAGTATTTATAACCTATTTAAGTGAAGATCATATACTACATTCTTCTGTATCCTAAGTTTCTACCAGCTGCTTCTTGTCAGCTACTTTTTATTTTGTACTAGACATCGAACTCATAACCTCGCGCTTGCCAGGCAGACACTTATGCCACTGAGCTAAATCCCTCCCCCTGTCAGCTACTTCTAGCATTTCAACAAAACTGCTCCACATGGCTTTTCAATATTCTCATTTTTAAAAAAAAGCAAAAAAATCCTCTATTTTCTCATTAAGCTACAACATATTTTCTCAAAGGATGCTTTGTAATGTGATGTCTGTACAAAAAAGAGTATGTTTTCCTTAATAAAAACAATTACTAAATTTAATGAGCCAAAAGAAAGGTAAAAATATAGCATATCTATATTTAAACAAATTCTTCACTGAAAGGATACAGATTTGTGAAAACTGCAGGCAGGCTTCACTGTAAAAAAAAATCGAAAAGAAAATTACTAGATGAATGCCCTATTTTCCAAATATTGAGTTGTTTTAATAAAATTTATTGTACCAATCACACATACTTTTGTCAAACTACCAGTTCCTGTATCACCAATCAGTTGCAAGGAGAAAAGTATAATTCTTCACAAGACTTGGGGAGGGGTGGTTATTTTTATGATTTTCAGAGTAAAGAACAATTTATGTTATAATCCACAAAGTAGTGGCTGGATTTGGCAGCTAAAATAGAGTATCTAAATGTTTACTTGGCAGCAACTACATCTAAAAGCAAAATTTTAAACTGTAAAAATTAATTAATTTAAAAATTTTAAACTGTAAGATGACATAATGACTATAACTTAACTTGTGCATGTGATAATACCCTATAACAAAGGATTACAAACAAACTAAATATCCATCAACATTCATATAATCATAAAAAACAGAAAAGTATATCAAATGCTATTGTTTCTATAAAAGGCAGAAAAAATGTATTTTCTTAATTTGGCTCCTCCTGAGAAATCAACTAGATGATCAAGGATGGAAGAAAAGACTTTATAATATCACCAAGAGACAATGATCAATACAGATTAATCATACTAAGAATCAAATTAATGCTTCCAAGAAGAATTTAAGTTTTTTCTAAATATGCAATATGATCATGGAAAAATCTGAAAATATAGGGAAGTATAAAGAAAAATGTTTATCAAGAATGCTATCATCGGGGCTGGGGATTTAGCTCAGCAGCATTAAGTGCCTGCCTTGCCAGTGTGTGGTCATGAGTTCGATCCCCAGTACCGATAAAAAAGAAAAAGACCAAAAAAAAAAAAAAAAAGAATGCTATCATCTCAGAAATAACCACTCTACACTTCAGATGCATTTACTACCAAGACACACACAAATGTCCCCATAACACTATTTATTATATGATAAATAACAGTTACTTCTCAGGCTGGGCATAGTGATATACATCTGTGATGTCAGTACTTGAAAGGCTGAGACAAGAGAATTACCATGAATTTGAGGCTAGTCTGGGCTACATAGTGAGTTTAAGGCCAGGGAGAAATACAAAGTGAGACCCTCTCTTAGAAAACAAAAAACAAAACTTGTTTTTTATAACCTCGTAACACTAAATTTTATTAGTAGGCAGAATATAATAAAAACAAATCTACATCACAATGCATACTCATGCATCTGCTAAAAGAAAAATTTTTTTTTTTTTGGTACCAGGGATCAAACTCAGGACCTCATGCCTGACAGGCAGGCACTTACGCCTGCTGAGTCAAATCTCCAGCTCAAGAAATTTGTTTTTTAAAATGCTAGGAAACCAGCTGTGGTGGCACAAATCTGTAATAGCAGTATTACATGGTATTAAATGAGGCAGGAGGATCATAAATTAGAATCCAACCTGGGAAACTCAAAAACTTCAGACCTTGTCTCAAAATACAAAGCTTTTAAAAATGGGATTGAGATTTAGCTCAGTGCAAAGGTCATGGGTTCAATCTCCAATACCACCAAAAAAAAAAAAAAAAAGAAAGCTATATAAATCAATCTATATGTAACCTTAAAAATTCTGAAATTCTCATGTCTTTTACATTCCAAATAAACCTCAATATTTATTCTTCCTGCATTAACAACTCTCCAAAGTGCCTCTGGGAAGGTAAAAGACAATATGCAGAAAATGGTATGACATAATTACACGGCCAGGATTTTGGATCACTAGTACAGTGCTTGCCTACCATGTGCAAGGCTCTGGGTTCAAGCTTCAGTCCTCCCAAACAGTAACAAAGCCAAAGTGGCAGGACATGCCTATAATCTCAACATGCAGGAGAATGAGGTAAAACAACTAAGAGTTTAGGGCTGGTTTAAACAGCAAGTTTGCAGTTAGTTTAGACTATATAGCAGATATGATACTAGCCTGCATTTCATACATAGTAAGTCTTGTTTCAAAAAACCAACATAACAACAAAAACTCACTTCCTGATAAATATGCAGTTTGAAAACTGCTGTGTTGAAACATGCTGCTCTATGGTTTGCTTTATGGTATTGGTGTTAATACAATATTTACATTTACTTACTTTTATTTAGCACTGGAGGATTTTTATTTATGTACCCAGAGCCTTTGCACTTAGCTAAATTCCTAGTCCCTTTTGAAAAATTTTTGAGACAGGCTCAGTCATTAAACTGACCCATCTGGTATCAAACTTGTAATCCTCTGGCCTCCCAAAGTGCTGAGATTTAGGTGTGTACTAACACACTCAGCTTAAGGTGAAAAAGTTCTAAATAAAATTGTTTACAAACTTACAGGTAAATTTAATATTTTGATGTTGACAGTGACTTTCAAACATTGTTCATTTTGATACTATCAATATCAAGGCCAGGAATATTATGCAATTGCTAATGAATCAATATTTTTAGGCATTAATCATCAATGCCTGCTACATCATAAACAGACACAATAAGTAATATAACTTTCTGATAGAAGATATAAAGATCTTGGCAGGAAAATAAGAGAACAGAAGAACAAACTAAATGATATACTAACAATTATAATCAACAAATCCAGACCATAGGAAACTAAACAGAGAAACAAATAATTTGGTTTCTCAAAAAAATAGCATAAAAAAACAGATGAAGGAGAAGCTCAAAGACTAAGAGATTTCAGAGATCACAATGAATAGTATAGTACTTGATGTATCCTGAACCAAAAAACTAATTAGTAAAACTAGGACTCTGCTAAGACAATTGAAAATTTGAACACTGGCTGATTAATGATACTAAAGGATCTGTGATTGTTTTTGAAGCACTGTAATTAAGTTAAAAACTTAATGTCATCTTTTGTCTTGTTTTTTTGAGACAGGGTCTTGCAATGCAATTCAGGCTGGCCTTGAACTCACTAAGCAGCCCAAACCAGCTTCAAATTCATGGCAACAAGGCCTGCCCCAGGCTCCCAAGTGCTGGGATTATAGGTATGCACAGCACACCATGCCCAGCAAAAAAACCTTACTCTTTATGCTTCAGCAACACACAGAAATATTTTTGGATAAAGTGATATGACTTTATTTGTTCAAAATTACATGGCATAAATAAGAGTGGATGTGGAGCTGAGCAAACTGGCACCTCTATAATCCCAACATTGAAGCTGAGGTACTACTACAAATTCAAGGCTGAGCTGCATGAGTTCAAAACCTGCTTCAACAACACTGACAGACCCTGTCTCCAAATATCACCACTCCCAAAAAAGAAAAGAAAAATCCAAATGAGTAAACAGGTCACTCAGTTTACAAAGTATTCAACACAATTCAATGTTTTTGGCTATCTCCAAGTTCTTAGAAACTGGAGATTAGCACATGTCACATAGTTGTTTGGTAATCTATAAAAACTTGAAAAGTTTTCAGCAATATACAGCTCTCAGTATGTCATAGATATTTACAAACATAACATCAACATTCTTACAGTGTAAGAGTATACCACAAATCACAACCAAAGACCATAAATTATAGAACAAAAGAAGTAATGAAATAGTTAAAAGATGAGCAAACCTTTTGGTATCAATTTTAATAGCAACAAAACTATTTGAAGATGCTTCAGTCACTTTTTCATCTTCCCAACTTGCAGCCATCTGTATAGACTGTTCATCATCACCTGAAAAACATTTCAAGGATTGTTACATCATAAAGCCATGGTTTGTTGATTATAAACTCTTTTCCCTAGAAAAGCCAAACTTCAAATAGAGTACAATTTCACAAACACTATTTCTACCAAATTTGAAAACCAATCTTTTCAGGTCTAAGAATGTAGTTCAGCAGTAAAAAGCTTGCCTAACAAATGACACCCTGAATTAAACCCCCCCACACACACACTTGCCAGTACCACAGGAGGAAAAAAAAAGAAAAAATTTTTTCCATAAAATTAGATACACTCTGTTCACATAATAAAGAGCAATGAAGCAAGGAGTGGTAGCACATGCCTATAAACCCAGTGCTCGAGAAGGCTGAGGCAGGAGGATTGTTGGTTGCAAGTTCGAGACCAGCCTGAACTACATAGGAAACCTAGTCTCAAAAAAAAGAAAAAAAAAAAAAAAAAAAAAAAAAGCAATGAAAAACCATATATTGCAATATTCATAATACCACTCATTTTTCTAAGAGACATCCAAATTATAATTCCCAATGCATCACAAGAATAAGTCATGGGGGGCTGGGGATTTAGCTCAGCGGCATAAGCACGTGCCTTGTAAGCAAGCGGTCATGAGTTCGATCCGATAAAAAGTTAAAGAAAAAAAAAAAAGAACAAGTCATGGGTAGAAATGTATAGTACCGGTGCTGGGGATTTAGCTCAGTGGCATAAGCACCTGCCTTGCAAGCAGGCGGTCGTGAGTTCGATCCCCGGTACCGATAAAAATGAAAAAGACAAAAAGAAATGTATAGTACCTATTTTGGTTTTTGTACATAGGGCTAGAAAATTAAAGTGCAACAATCTTTTTTACGTACCACTTTTCTGTTGTGTTCTACATCTCAGTATAGCAACATTTAATCACCAAACTTCCTTCAAGCTACAGAGGTAAGTTCAATTCTGTTTGTAGTTCAGGACTTGCCTTTTACTATAGATATGCTAACTGTAAAAGCTGTGCCTTGCTATAACATAATGAGGAAAGATGTAGGTAGTACTGACTGCACAAGAGTAGGTACCAAAGAGCAACATGGAAGACTGGAAATGTTCCATATGTAGATCTAGATGACAGGTCAAATTTCATCAACTTGTTCATTTAATATATATTCTACAAAAAATATTCTTTTAATGTGGTACCTATCAAAAGATTGCTTCAAGTTTACAACCATATCTAGATTCTCATAATCTTTGCCCACTTATTGGTGGGCAGAGGGCAATTTAAATCACGGAAAAGAATTTCTAAAATTAGCAGAGGTAAGAGCTTTCTCAAAGATGAGTAACTTTTATCAATTTAGAAAGTCTTTAAAAATGTTTTTAGGAGCCAGGTGAGGTGGCACAGTCCTGTAAGCCCAGCAATTGGGAAGCTAAAGCAGGAGGATCTTTGCAAGTTCGAGACCAGCTACAAAGTGAGCCCAAGGCCAGCCTGAACCGCAGTGACTCAAAAAGACAAAAAAAAAAAAAATGTTGGGGAGGTAGCTCAGCAGCACAGTGACTGCCTGGTAAGCATGAGGTCGTGAGTTTGATCCCCAGTACCAAAAGAACAAACAAATAACAATGTTTTTAGATAGCTTTTATTTTACAAAAATGAGGTCATTATTTACCGACTGGTACTTTCTTCCTCAGCAGAGAGTGCAGTGATGAGTACCTATGGTCTTAAACATAGGCTGGGTAATTTGAGCAAAGATATCCTTCTTTCATTTCCTCAAAGTAAAACCAAAGTTCAAAGTAGCAGTCTTGTGGGACATACACATCAGGCTCCCAAATGCCTCTCTAAATGCATTTCCCTAAACAGTAATCTCTTGCAATTCCTCTCTATTCTTCACATATGAAAAAAATCCCAGTTTTATAGCCTTGGTACTAGTTTCCTCTGCTTGAAATGTTCTTCCTCCAAATATAGTGGTACCTTAGTTCATTAAGACTTTTGTTTTCAAACAGTTTGGTTCACAAACTGAAATGTCTTGCAAATTTTTGTGTTTGTTTGCTTTTATTTTTTTTGCAAACTGCAGTATGATCACTGCCACCTTCTCCAGAATCACTGAACAAATTAAGTTCATTAATCAAAATCCACTCTATCTACATGGTTAGCTCTTAATTCCCTTAATGTGTTCCCAATGGCTTGAACTACCCATGGTACAAGCATGACTGTCCACTGCATAGCCTGAAACCACCTAACGAGACTGTTTCACACCACCCAACGGGAAAGTAATATATGTACCATCAGTGGCTCAACTAGCAAGAATGTAACATGTTGAAATCAGGGCCCAGTAAAAACGAAAAGGACAAAAAAAAATTTTTTTAAAAAGGGGTTGGGGATTTAGCTCAGCGGCATAAGCGCCTGTCTTGCAAGTGTGTGGTCGTGAGTTCAATCCCTGGTACGGATAAAAATGAAAAAGAAAAAAAAAATCAGGGCCACCCAACAACAAGAGATATGAATTATGACCTCATTATAAATGTGTTAAATCTCTGCTCAAATTAACACTTTCTCAGTAAAGCTATTCCTAATTTAATCTAATCTCTAAATCTAATCCCGAAAACTACTTTTCCGACACTCCCAAAGCTCCCTAATCTCCATATGTAGATCTAGATGACAGATATTCAAATTTTTCCTCTGTATTACTTTTTTTTTTTCCCTCTGTATTACTTAACACTTTCTAATACATTATGTGTTTTAATTACATTATTTTCTTTTTCCCCTAACCAGAAAGAATGTTGCATGAGGGCAAGGACTGTTTTCCCTATTACCAAAAGACAAAATCCCTACAAAAGAACCAGAAATACACTAAGTACTTAGCATAGTAAGCACTCAGTACATATTCTGTGGAATGAATAGCTAAATGTGAGGTACAGTGTAGTATGTGTCTTGGCCTGTCTACATTTGAGTCTAATGCTGTGAATTTGAATGTATTTTGTGTGAGATGAGATGAAGGAATATCAGTGATAAAAGTTTGAGAATCTGACCATGGATAGAACGTACCCACAGATCAGGACCAAAAAGAACACCTCTTCTGGCAGACTCCCAGATGCTCAGGTGCAGAGTAAAGGAAGATTACCACTTGCAAGTGAGAATTCTGAAAGCATCTTCAGAGACCATGGGGTGAGAAGAGATGATGAAATTCCAAGTAAATGATTCAACAATCAACCTAGAAAATAGCTATATGGAACATTCTTTTTTTTTTTTTTTTTTAAATCGGTAGCGGGATCGAACTCACGACCGCCTGCTTGCAGGGCAGGTACTTATGCCTCTGAGAATCCACAGCCCCTATATGGAACATTCTTATGACATACTCTGTGAATTCTTTTCACTCATTCTTTCACATATTTACTATCTCAGTTTTGTTTTAGGCATTGGCTACATATTAAATACAAAACAAATGAAACACTGCCCTTCACAGAGCTTAAAATCTTTTTTCTTTTGAGATGGCACTATGCAATTCAGGCTGGCCTCAAACTCATAATGACCCTCCTGCCTCAGCCTCCTGTGTGCTGGGATTACAGGCTTGCATTACCACGTCCAGCAACAGAGCTTAAAATCTAACAGTTCAAAAAACGTTAATAGGTATACAATTATAAACATGTAGTAAAACTACTATGACAGAAACCAACAAGGAAGCCTTCTCTGAGATGATAGTTAAGATAAGCCCTAAAGAATAAAAGGGCTGAACCACACCAATAGCCAGAAAAGTTCACTCAACAGAAGGAATACACGTGTATGCAAAGAACTGTGGAACTAAAAATGTCATGAATAAAGGCAGCAATCTAAGAGAAATCTAAGAGTTAAAAAGGCAAAGATGACTTCCACAACTGGATATTCAGTAGTGCTACTTATACTACCTATTCAGAAATACAACATAAGGAGAAAAACAGGCTTAGCCAAAAAATATACTTTTAGGCTTGAGAATCAATCCTGTGCAGGATCTTGTTGGGAATGTTATGATCGTCTTCTTTTTTTTCTTTTTGTACCAAGAACTGAACTCTTGACTTCGTACTTGCCAGGCAGGCACTGAGGCCACTGAGCTAAATCCCTGGCCCTCAATGGGAATGTTACACAAGTAGCTGGAAGGATGGCTTTGCTTCTTGACAGGTTGGTGTTTCCATTCCCTAATCATTTGGTTGGAATCCCAAGACATACCTTTGCTGCCAGTGTCTAAGTCCATGATAGCCTTATGGCGGCAGCAACAGCTTTGCCAAAAGAGTAGAAAACTGAATGGAATTCTCAACTCAGTGAGTTTCCTCAACACATTCAGGACATACTATGTTCCTGCTAGCTTAAGCTACCAGTGATACATACATGACTGTTCCATCAGGTGGAATGGGACAGTCATGCATGTAGCTATCAGTGAACACTTATGGGATTAGTCATTGCTAAATTCAGTATCTTAGGTTTAAATTAAATTAAAAATTAAATTCTCAGCCACTCAATCAAATTGAGTGCTCCTAAAATTTTAGGAGAAATCACTGTACGTTGGTGGTATCAGCAATATTCAACGTGAATGCACTTGGTATCAGCAGTGTCAAAGCAAAGACACTTGAGCACAAACGCTAAAGCAGATTTCACACCCTTACACAGCCTTATACAGCCTAAAAAATCTCAGCTGCTCAAACTTAAATGCTTCATGTTCTATATTAGTCCAAAAAGGCATTAATGTCTGACATTAAAAAGTTTTCATCAGCTTCACAAAAGTGATCAGTAGACAGACATCTTTGCTTGAGCTCTTTGTCAAATTACTCTACTAAAACCAAATCATTCTGTTTTGCTTCTTTTAGACAATTACAACAGAAAATATGTTAATTTGCTTCGTTAAGTAGAAACACTCTCTGACATCAACTGTACGAATTATTTAATTCACCTATGAAAATTTCATTAAATAAAGCCAAGTGACATGTGTCTATAGTCCAAACTATTTGGAAAACTGAGGCAGAAAACAGGCTAGCCTGGGCAACAGAGCAAGACCCAGTCTCTCAGAAAATAAAAATAT